CCCCAAAACCCCAAAACCCCAAAACCCCAAAACCCCAATTAAATTTAAAGTTTTTGAAATACAAATTACAATCAACCAGCTTGTTATACATTGTTTATGTTAAGACTTAAATCAATGAATGAGAGAGAGGCAACAAAGAAGCGGCTTGCCTTTCCAAGCAAAAGATGAAGTAAGAGAAATTCGCGTGAAAGACATGGCAATAAAAAGGTATGTTTTGGTTAAAAAGTGCTAAATATTTGTGTTTTAGAAGCGATTGAATCTTCGAAGAGATCCTCTTTTGAATTATAATATAAGCCAAATAAAGCCAGCAAAAATGCAAGTTTTAAAAAGGACTTGTCCTCGTAAAACTCTTGAAGGTCTCTCGCAGATTGAAACTCAGTTGGAGAACCTGCCTCGGAACATTCTTGAAGTTGATAGGAATCTTTCTTACCTGAAACCGACATGAGAACGTCTAAGGGAACAATTACAAAAAGCATGAGCTTCGGAATCACTAGGAGACTGTTCATATCTCAAAACTAAGGTTGATGAGATCAAAGTGATTTTGGACAACTCTGACCAGATTAGAAGCTTTACAGCAAAATCTTCCAGGGAAGATATTCGTCCAATTCCCAATATGTTAAGTTTAGGCTCAACTCATGATAAAAAGCTCGGAAAATTCTTAAATAAAATTCAAGCACAAAAGCGGGAAATTAATGCATTGAAAGAACGAATTAGTAGAAGAGACAAAAAAATTGCAATGCTTGAGAGAAAGATTCAGGAAAATAACAAAATTGATTGTAAATTATAACCTGATTGATATAGATGTACTGGAGGAGCTTGACACTTCGAATCCTAATAACTTTAACCTCCTGGTCCAGACGATGCTTGGAATCCCTTTTAAAATCTCTCCTTCATCAACCTTTAGCTTGGACTTGAGCAATACCAGACACCATGATTTAATAGACAAGGTCAACGATAAGGTGCCCGATGTAGGGAGGCTGGACATCAACAACTTAGGAGAAGATATAGACCAGGCTAAGAAGATACTCAAGAGCAACATGTTAGGTAAGATAGACGAACTCTCGCTGAATGAGGAAGGCCAGATGGTGGAGTTTCATGAGTTTGGAGAAGAATTTGAGAAAGAATTGGCTAAAGTTGTATGAACAAATGTTTGCAAAAGCTTTTCATTGTCCAATTATAAGATTCAGAAAGGCACCTTGAGTAAACTGCTCTATTCTGCAGCACATTTGCCATCTATTAATCTAAGAGGCTGAAAACTTGAAACTTCACCTATTCCAGCTCTAGAAAACAAAGATTGTTCTCTAACTCACCTTGATCTTTCCTTTTGAGGATCTCCAGAGCTAGGTAATTGGGGAACAAATCCTACTCATTTCGATAATCTCCTTCACTCCCTCTGAAGCCTAAAAGGAATTAGGAACACTTTAAAGAAGATAACAATGCATATGTGTGGGCTTGACGAGAAGGAGATTAGGGAGATACTGAACAAGTACAGATTTAATCGGGAAATATCAATTTTGGCTTCATAAATCACTTTCTCAAACTGGTGGGTTTCTAAAGACGTTCACAGTTTCAATATTCTATTTTAATATTGGGGTTTTGGGGTTTTGGGGTTTTGGGGTTTTGGGG